ATATATATATATATATGTATATGTTGGGACAGTTCTATTTTATTTTTTTTTATATACGAGCAGAAATACAAAAAATAAAAAATAAAATCTACTTCGATATTTCACCTGAAGTAACTGTATTTAGGGGTGTTTCCATTTCCACATCCTCCACTGGAAAATCAAAATCAAGAGTGAAGTCAGGAATATCAAAATAAAGTTGTTCTGTTAGTCCATTATTCTCCAATACTGGGCTAGCTAAAAGCTTCTCTAAATATTCTGAAAAATCTAAAGTATTCTCCCCATCAGTATCCTTGTATGAGTTTTCCCCAATAGATATATGATCTACATCAGCACACAAGTCATTAACCCCATCAAACGCAGACTTAGAATTTCTCGATGGATCTGGACTTAACTCAGCTTCTTCCACATAAAGATCTGATGTTTCCATTACAGATGGTTCATATTTGATAATCTGCTTATCAGACGACTCTAAGCCATCTGCCGCACCGTCTTGTTGGGCAGGGGCAGGAAGCCTTCGTTTCTTGTTCATCTCAGATCTCCATCTACCATTTATGTTCTGCTGAACTAGTTGGGATAAGAAAGTGGGACTCTGAACAGCCATTGCAAGAAATGAGAGCATCTGTTGCTGATTCAGTTCCATTCCTTGAAGACGCTGTCTCAAATCATTTATTTCAGCATCAGTCTTCTGTTGATGCTGCCTCAAAATTACCAGCTCCTGCATAAGAAGATTCTTATCCCGCTTGAGCCTTTCAATTTCCTGCTCGAGACCGAATTGCCCAACTTCAACAGCTTTGACAGAGGAGAATTTCTCTTGCTGTGGATGAATATTGTTGTGGCTTGATTTCTTACGTGTAATGGTTTTTAATAAAACCTTTTTCCCCTTTACAAAACCATCATTTTTAAACACCCACTTGTCATGATCAACCTTCCTAAAGCCCTGATTATAAAACAAAGATGTGTATACTTGACAAACAAAAAAAATAATAATAACAATAAATTCTATATATGAATCATTGGAGAATATGGACGGTTTGAATTCATTAGACAAGAGCATGTGTGTAGAAAACATAACTCTATATAGTGGGAAGAATAAAATCATGGTTGAGAAGACAAGTGCAAAGGTGGGGGTTCAAAATTCCAGGCCTACCAGTGATAAAAAATCAGTTCATCTTTAATATAGAATGTTGATTAAAATCCCATATCTAAAACAATAAAACATTATCAATAAATACCTTTATCAGATCATAACTAAAATTTTAAATACTTGTGATTGCTTGATACAGATTTGCAGTTCGAGATAATACAGGTAAAGTATAAGAAAATAACTATTAGCATCCCACTTATTAAATATCAAAGTTATAGAATGAAAAATAAAACGATAAAAATGGCTCATATAAAAACCCATCCAAAGAGAATAACTATTCGTACATTACTGCACTTGCAGAGCTAATCCTCGTTTCTTCTTTCTGGTGAATATAAATCTCCTAGAAAAAAAACGGATAGTTTTTGCAGAAAGATGTTTTAAGCCAACTATTCCAGACAACTTCATTCGTGCAGATATATCCATGATCAGCATTGAATTTTGGATATAAACTTCATAAATTTAAGCAATTTGATCACTATCATGAAAGAAAGTCATGGCAACCTCAATTGGAATATTGAAAAACATATTCCAATAAGATTTTTTTTTGTACTGTCAGGATAAAATTATTAGCACAAAAGAGTCAATTTCATTTCTTTATCATTAGTGTTTCAGACAAAATATCGTGATAAGTAATCAAATATCAATTACAAACAAAAAAAAACAATGAAGATAAAGGTCCATAAGTATCAAATGAAGTAAAAAATTTGAACATATTCCTATATAGAAGAACAGGTTTGAGTATTGTACAATAATTACACTTTAATGAAATGAGGTATCACCAAGATTAAGATTAAGAAGTTGAATAATATGGCAATTACCTCATATATCACTAATCAAGTTAAGAAACAAAAATTAGTATAACGTGAAATACTTTACTAGAACAGGTCAAGCTTAAAGGAAAAGATTAAAAGCTACTTCAAGTCCAATTGATATAGATTTATCAGTCTACATTTAAAAAATTTACCTAACTAATTGGCTTTGTTTCAACTGAAGTGAAGAAAATGGAATAAATTCCTAAAAAAAATCCGGTTGATCATGAATCGACGACCACTGATTCGAGCTCTTCAACCAACTTTAGCATTTCCTTGAACATTTCTCTATTTTGTGAACGAAGTTTTAACTTCAAAGGTTATGTCCTCATCATTATTCCTTTGCATAACAAGGTTGAGACACTTAAGCTTAGTCACTTAATAACTCAACAGTATCATCAAACTACTATTTAGTCAAATCAAATAAAATATATGTCTAGTACAACGTGTAGGCCCTTTCAGCCATTATTTTCTTAAAACCCAAACATATAACAAGTTTAATTTGTGCAAATGGCAAGTGAGTGAGGACCATATCATAAGTACAACAACTTGAAGGCTTCATTACCGTGCTCATCTTTACAAAAGTAGTAGTGAATTAATTCATATTAAACAAAATATCACAGCATCTTTATATTCAAAAGGTCCCTCACGGCTTCATCGCTCTAATATTTATTTACTTCATATATTACAACTACACCTGCAGAAAATACTAACAATTACATTTAAAAATTAGCCATCACATCATGTCAGACAATATATGATGAAAATTGAAAATAATCATTCTAATTAAGCATTAACTAGCACATCATATATATCATTATTTTTAAAATCACATAATTTCATTATCTTTAAAATTGAACAAGTCTCATGATTCAATTGAAATATAATTATATTTATTTAAAATTTTACCATAAGATCATCAATGATATATTTTAAATATCATAATTAATGGCATATAAACATTTTAGAGAAAACTAAGGGATTATTTAATTAACTATAATATTGCTAAATAAGGAAATCTAATTAATCAAAGTTTGATTGCAATTATCACCTAAATTAGTAAAGAAAGTTATTTAATTAATTTTATATATTTTTTTCTATATTTAACAGCATTTAGATGATTTTTAATCATTTTAAGGAAAAATGAAATATGATAATCTTAAAACGTTGGTGGCCCTTACCTACTCGAACATCTTTTATTTTTTTCTAATCACTACTTCTATATTCACTTCTTTTCATCATCTTTTCTTAAAGTTGATGTCACTTTTCGGCCATCAATAAGCTACCTTGCTCTCCACTATTTCCAAAAAAGATTATGGCCTTATTCACGTCTGCCAGCTTAACTTATGTGATCGAATGGTTTCATTCAATAATGAGCTTTTATAAATACCACCCTCATATGCCACACTCAAAATTGTTCATAAACTTCCCCCTTACGAGGTTGTTATTTTCAACATTGCACTCAAAGAATCTCCACATCACCCCACTGAAGCCTACTAACAACAACAACATAATGTCATAACAACCAAAAGAATGGCCCAAGCACTCTATAAAGTTTCAAGAAACTCCTTTACAAAAACAACAAGCCTTTGTCCCACTACAGTTCTTAAGCTCCTTTACAATCAAATAAAATTCCTAAGCCCCCTCACTATCTCAAATCCAAAGATGTGTTTGTTGATGGCATAACTCAACATTCATTGATAACTATTAACAACCATCATACTCTGCAACTTTTCTTGCGCTCAACATCTTCCCCTATCTTTGTGAACCATAACTAAAGCTTATGTCTCTCACTTGCTCTTGCTACAACTTCTAACTATATTTCTTAATGCACTACATATTCTTTCACGCAGAAATTTGATTTGGTGTTCTGCATCTGTCTGTGTATGTAACTTTTACCCAAACCTTTTTCCCTTTCTTATTAGAGGTCGTCACTCACCCACCAGTGTGAGCCCACTCATAATGCCTACAATCCTACTAGTCCAAGCAACCCAAAGTTGATCCTTGATTTTCTTACTTTAAACCATCATCTTTTAAAATTATGTGTGAATAACATTATTGCTTGCAATGTCTCCCATAATTTTTTATTTTTGTGACATTATGTTAACCTCGTTAAAAATCTAATATTATTAATAAAAATCATTTACAAATCCCTATTGTTCACTCCTCGAAAAGCCCTTGATGATTACCCCCGTTCTCCATTAGTCCTTTTGGGCATTCCAAACAATTTCAAAACAACTTTCATCTTCTTATTGGGTGGAAATTTGAAAGAAAATAATTTTTTGCTATCGACAATAGGCTCAAAAACCCATCGTTATCTTTTAGTCAACAAATGAAAATTATTGCTTATTTTTTAAGACTAAAAAACTTCATTAGAGAACCTATGGAATTATGAAACTCAAATGTTTCCTATATATGTATAAATTGATTGATTGTCAATTAGGTAATGTCCCATATTTGTTTGTAAATCTATTAATCGTTGCATAGATTCATCTAAAAAGCTCACTAAAAGTAAGGTTGAGTGTCCACGTCACTTTACCTACGATTTAGCCTGTGTAAGGTAAGGTTCCACCAAGCATTTGCCATGCCTTCTGTTTGCCACAGTACAACTATCACAAATAACTTCTTTGCAAGCCATATCAACTAAGCATTAGTTTCATAAGCAATGCTTAGCAAAACTATATCGTTCTTCATATAAGAGAATATTTTCCTATTTAGGTATACATTCATTACCTCTTTCTTTGAGCTATTCCCAGAAAGATTTACATTTAGTTCGCATGGCACATAAAACACTTTAAGGGTGAAAAGAATATCTAGTACTATCCATTTAGCACTTGAGCCAAGAAATGCAATGCCCTTCTTATACGCAACTCGGAAAATGGCATTAGTTGCATTATAATTTGCCAAAAGATTAATATCACACTAGTGCATTAAAAAGGCATTTCTAATTGAACAAAAGTAATTTTATTGGATAAGATCTTATTTACCCATTTTAGATGATGAAAACATTAAACAAGTAGAAGTTAATAAGCTTATTATGAAAGGTGAAGAGGAACATGTTAAAGGAAATATTGGTAAAATATACTGTATTTTAACAAGCCAAGTTGCAGGAGAAGAATGAGAAAAAATAAACAATTTTCATATAATATGCCAAAACACAAGGTATAAATTTGCATTTGATGGTGAAAATATTATGCATGCAGCTCTAAGTCTACTATTAAGGGAGAAACATACCTGAGCCATAGCATAGATGAAAGAGAAGTAGTTCCTAATAACCAAAACCTGTTCAGTACTTGTCCAACTAGGAAGTTATAATGATAATGTATGACACAATGTCATGCCAATGTATGTGGAATCTATCCTTATTGTTAGATCTTAGTTAAATGATTAATGTGTAATCTAAAAGCATTTGTTTTTAAGCTTTAAGGTGCTACAAATAAACTCATTCTCTTTGAGCCAGTCAAGCATCAAAGTCTATTCTTTAAGTAAAAGTAAAACACAATATACAGGAATAAACAAGTAATAAATCCTAACCTAGACAATATTTATAAAAAAGGTCCAAGAATCTAGAGCAATTATGCCCTTCACTAGACGAGCCCTTAATAAGATTAGTGAGAAGCTTATACCCATTACAACAACCAAAATCTTGAATGATTTTCAGGATACACAACTAATAAAATGACCTGATGTGTTACCCAACATTTGTCAGTCAACATGCAATTGAGGCAATCGAATTTATTATGAATTGCAATTACTAATTGTCCTTCATTATAGGATGAACCTGTAAGATCATTTGACGTATAAACAATAGGTATATGTTCAATGAAAAATAATTTATATGCTGAAATTTAAGTCCTTAAGTTCCTGCTTTACTAACTCCAGAGAAAGATGATTCATTCAAAAAGTATCAATAGCAAATACATTCAAGAAATTTGTTGCTAGGTGTCGGTTTTTATTTCCATAATTAGATTATATGTTATATTT